AATTAAGTTGCCACCGCCGGATAACGTCATCACACGAAAGGTACACAAACACAAGCACACAATTTATATTACCAACACTTAAACGCAAAGCAATGTAATAATAGTCTTTACAAAGGAACGAAACTAAGACATCATAATTCCACTCAACAACAAGATCACCCGAAGAACCAACTGGATCAGCTATACTACAATCAACAAAACCGAAGGACCGATCACACCATCTACAAAAGAACGACCATTACGAGTTTCAGATAAACAAATAATACAAGGAGAGTAGATACGAACAAGTCCTTCTAATGCCTGAACTGTCAAAGCAGGACCTAAGCCTCGAAAGTTCCAAGCGAGGAGAGTCATTCAATCCCATGGGGCCATTCGTTGCTGGCTTCCACCATAGTTCCCAGAATATTATCATCATTCTCAGTCGGCTCTACATGTTGCCTCTTTGCTGGTGGGAAATCTTCATCAACAACCATTGAAGCATAAGCACCAGCAGTAGCAGAGGGCTCCAGAGAACCATGTTCCAGCAGCAGGGTGCCAGACCAGCCGCAATCCCCAGCTGAGAACCTACCATTTCATCATGAGAACGCTTGTTATCATCCACAAGCAAATCCTCATCAGTGAGGCGCATATGGAAAACTGGAGTGTAACTCAAAGATCCACGATCCTTGTACTCCTCATCATCAGGTTCAGCCTCAGTAACTATGAATTTTCCTTTACCCCTTATCACCCACATTCGTAGCAGAAGTAGCCCTAGGACTAGGAGCAGCTGCTGCTCTCACTTTCGAAATCTGAATAGGAGGTAAAACAATTCTTTTATATATGATAGTTGGGTACGCTTTATTGGCCCAAGATGTCTGTTACTGTATCATTTTTTGGCGTTTAGTGTCAATCCCCACTGAGTTGCTCAGCATCGTGTTGCTCGACCCAATCCCAAACGAGCTACCCATGTCCTTTCCCTTTTCATCCATCGGCGATCAGCCCTGCTATCATCTCACAATCTCAGCCCAAAATTCATATTAGCACGCCACCCTTTCAATCATCTCCCATCCCTCACCACTCCAGTTTACTTCTCAATATAGCGACCTCTGCAGACCCACTCAAACACTTCACCGCCCATGCTTTTTCTAGATTGCCCAAGAAGAGGAAGGATAGAGGAAGAGGAGGATAACAAAAAACCTCTAAGCTATCTGTCTCTGTCTCTCGAAGGAGGGGGAGAAAAGGAAGAAATCGAAGAAGATCTATCGTCCCGCCTTCAGTTCATCTTCTTCTACATACCCATCTCCAAATTCCTCTTTTCCACTAGCTACTTCTTTCTTTCTGAGTTTCCCTTATTGTCGTTTGTGATTTCCTCGAACCTCTTCCCGACTGAACGAAACGACGACAAACGGCCGCATCACCGGCTTCCTACAGAGCTCCGCTTCTCCCGGTTGAACAACGCGAATGATCGGAAGTTCAAGGAGCAGCGGCGCTCGCTGCAGGAATTCGATGATGCTATCCGCCGCGCCAGACGATTCAATTCCATTGTGAACATGGTCGACCCTTAATACCTGAATGTCGTGCTCTGGCCCGATCGAATGCAGGAGCAATTTCAGGTCTGTGGGGACGCCGTCTTCGCCCTCAATATCAACAACCTACTTCCCGTCGGGTCGTGAAGGTCTCCGCACAGCCCCATCCTGTCAACCAGATGGCTAAAGTCAAGCTCAGCGAAGATGGGCTCTCTTACTTCATCGACAAAGCTTCGTTGGATTTCAAGTGCAGCTACACGGAGGCGCCAAAGACAAGTTACTGAAGTTACGGGAGCTGCCATTCTCGCCGTTTGGGCCGGCAATGCCTTGGTCGTGGATTGGAAGAGCGCTGCTGCGTCAAGTAAAATGAAGCTGAAGGAATTTGATTCATTTCAGCCGCCGTCGGCCGGTAAGAAAGGGATAAAGTCGGTCCAAGCACCCGGCCCATTTCAGCCCGGGTCGGCTCTAGGTATGTGAATACACGAGAGGATATATATATATATTGGGGTTGGACGATTGCTATTTCAACTGATTGATTCTATGGTCCTATCTTTCTCAATTCATCAATCGACGGCCCCGTTGTGAGTGGTGATTCCCCTCGCTGCATTTCATTGAAGCAAAGGTGCTCTTGCTTCCCAAGAGAGAGGAGCTGCAGGAGAGCAAGGTGAAGTGTTTGCGAGATTACGTTTGTCTGTTTGTGGTCTACTTGATGAGAATTGGCTTAGTGAGATGAGTTTATGGCTATGCATGCACTTGGTATTTTAAGGATGTCTTTACTATTTGCACCTGGTTGTGGTAATGTAGGCTTCATCATTCTGGTATGTTTCTTTCCAGGTGGCTGAAGCTCTTTCACATGCTGGACTTGAATCATGACATCTTATTGTTGAAATTGACTTTACAAAGAGCAACAAATGGATTGATATATGTTTCTGTTGTCTACTTGATATGTAAGTTATGATGCATTGTTGAACATGATGCTTAATATGGTTTGGTCACTAGGTGCAAAGTCTTACAACAGAAGAAATTTGCATCACTTTGAATTTCTGCAAGCAAGCAATTGATTATTGGAAAGAATTTGGTTGCCTTTAATGAGGATAACTTGATATCGTGCTACAGATTTGGAGACGGTAGGGTCTCAACTCTAAGAATTGTTTTCGATAATTGAATTACAAAGCAATTTGTGTTGTTGAGAGTTACTACTATCCATTGACATCTCCGAGAAACGATCAGGATGTCTTCAGTTTCTATACAGATGAGAGGTATTATGAATTTATTTTGAGTCTGAGACTTGCTTATCTGGTTTACATGTTTCCCGAGTCATAGTTTCCATAGCTAGAATTACCACACTAAATTATTTTTTGAAGCTTATGCAGATTTTTTTGGGTAGGTCCATTGTCGTTTGCACCTGTCATTAAGAAGGCATTGACGATTGTTGAGGAGAGTGGTGGCCAGTATCACGTATTGTTTATAATAGCAAATGAGCATGTAATTCGCCTCAGTATAAGATAAAAAAAATTATATACCACATAAATTGTCAATGAGAATTTGTGGTTTCTAATCTCATTCTTACAATGTCACAGGCAGAGAGGTGAAGGGAGTTTTGACCATGCCTTAATGTCTGTGGTTAATTTGAATCCAAGTGACACTTGCTTTTGATGAACTAGAGGGCAGAGTAGTTGTGGTGGAGTGTTGCTTTTGCGGTTACTGATATGCCAAAGTGGGATAAGAACACGCAGGCTGGCCATTCAGGTGTATCCTTCACTAATTCGTTGACTTTAAGATGTTAGATTAACTACTGTTGATTTCAAGGTTCTTCTTCTCCTTCAATCTTAACTGTATCTGAGATCTATAGCAATGTGATGTTTATTCCTTGGAGACCATGAGAAGGTATTTTAACTGAGCTTTTATGATATTTGAATTGTATATAACCATGTTTCCCTCCACTTTTCTGAAAAGTCTGGAAACTGCAACCTAGCTATTTTAATAATTGACTTAATTTATGTGACAGTTATCACTGGAGGTCTTGACTCAAAGCTCATCATGTGGGACTTCTCAAAAGGGCGCCCAGTCCAAATTAGTGATTTGGGTTTGTAAACCCACTATATGCTTCCTCTCCTTTAATAGTACTCTTGAGTCTTTCCTTGAGCAATCTCTTATTATAATCTTTCCCTCACTGCAGGGTCTATTAATAATAGCAATAATACAAGACAGTGTCTCAATCCTGCTTTTAGTCTTGCAATAGCGGCAGTATCATGTTTGTAGTGAAGTTAGATTTCCATTTATGTTGCATTTCTATTTAATCATCATGTTTGTAGTGAAGTTTGTCTTCGTGATGTCTCTTTTGTTACTGCAGGTACCATGTTCTGTGTTGATGCCTGAAATTAGCTCTTATTATTAGTTGACAGCTCTCACCGTGGTGTATACTGCTTGAACTTGGACTTGGAATCGCTCACACCAAAGAAACAACTTGGACACACCAAAGAAACAAGATGGAGAGGAAACATCAGGAGTGATGAGATTATGCAAGCCAAGGAACTTAGCATGAAGGTCAAGATTGCGGATGGAAGGACACAACAAAGAAAGAATAGATGAAGAAATCCAAGGTGGAACTTGAAGATATAAACCGGAAGTTTATGTTGCGCAAATTTGTGGACAAAAAAAGGGGCATGTTAAAATAAGAGATGCAGGTGCAGAACAAGATATAGTTTAAAGTTTCGGTAGGAAACACTTAGATGTATGTAGCCATGAATTTGTATCTCCTGTCTAGAACTATGTCAATGAGTTGGATTTGGTGGGAAACTCTTAAAGTATGCTTATTATTCGGCTATTTTTTGAATTAATAGACGATTGTTTTTGAACGTTCTCTATCTTTTCACCACTCAGTTATTAGCCTATTAGAATGATGGTACACAAAAAATTTGTGGGGATAAATTTCTACACCTCTAGCCTCGCAAATGATGGTTGTGCTGTGAGCTATATTTGTATACTGATTAACTATGGAATTCAAGATACAAAAGTCTCCTATACATTTCCCGTTGCCAGCACGATCCTAAGTTTGTCGTTACTGAACTGGCAACCATACAATCATGCTACAACTACTTTAGTTCTTGCGGCGTAGCCGCGGGTATTGATTCTAGTTCGAGAAACAGTAGGGTGCGAAATAGACCGGGAAGTGGTACGACGTTGATCATTCAACACTAAAGGACCAGCACCAACACATGTAGCAGCAGTACGAACTGTTTGATGCATCCAAGGATCCGGATCCACTTGACGAGTTGACATCCTCCTCGGAGTGTGACCACGAGCAGCAACAGCAGTATGAGACCGAGGGTTAACCCAGGTGTAACCCCGCCCTCTACCGCGCCTAGGGACAGCCAAGTCCAAGTGATGATCAGGGAGCAAGGTATGCTTGTTGAGGAGGATTCCATGAGGACGAACATACATGTTTCATTTCCTTGCTTCTTCCCATCGAATTGCAAGGGGGGGGGGGGGCAGACAAGCCCGTTATTTTGAGGGCTGAGGTACAATGGGCCTACATGGGCCGGACTATCCGGCCCGTTCAGATGATAACTACTAGATGAAAATTCCCCCACATTTTTCCAACCCTTCTTCATACTACGAACCTCTCCGATCAGTCCCCTAAAGGCTAAAACCTCCGCTGGCGCTGCTCCTTCTTCGTCTTCTTCCCACTTTCTGCTCAGCAATTGGTTTCCATTAGCTTCTTCAACTCCACAGCTCCCTTCAAGATGGTCACCAAAAGGCAGAAATTAGCCCGACGGAAATTCAAACAAGAGAACCCAGCTCTGTTCCCAAAACCAGAACCGACGCCGCCCAAGGACCCCAACAAGCCGAAGAAAAAGAAGAGCTTGTTCAAGCGCAAGAAGAAGAACACTGAGCCCAAAGATCCCAGCAAGAGAAGCAAATTCACGAAACGGCCCCTTACGGTCCCTGGAATTAAGCCCGGGGATACTTGTTACATATGCAAGGCTGTGGACCATATTGCCAAACTTTGCCCCCAGAAAGCTGAATGGGAAAGGAACAAGGTTCGTTCATAAATTCCTGAACTTTAAGCTGGATTTGGTTGGTTTAGTAGTGTCTTATGGTGGTGGTTTGTTGCAGATATGTTTGCTCTGCAGGCAGCGGGGGCATAGCCTCCAGCGTTGTCCCATTAAGGAAGATGAGACGGTGGCTGCTAAGCTGTGTTATAATTGCGGGGAGTCTGGACATTCCTTGGCTAACTGCCTCCAGCCTCGTCAAGATGGTGAGATTTTTTCATTGTCTTGAATTCGGTTTTAGAGCGGTGCTAGTTTGGTTGAAAATTCACATTGCTTTTTGGCCTTGCTGATTGCTTGTAAGTGAAATTTTAATAGCGTCACACTTAGACAACACCCATTTGGTTAATCAGAAATAGCCGTTGATTCCTTATTAATCATTACCGTCTTCCTTGTCTTCAAATTAGAACTGGGTTTCTTTTGCAGTTTCTGGAATTGAAATTGGCTCCTACTAGTATAGGCTTTATTGCAGCTTTGTGTTACTTTAGCTTGGTTCTAAATCACGAAAGGAGGTCAGTAGGACTAAAGTTCTTGAAGATTGTACTGACCATCTCATTAGACGCATTTTTCATAATTTGACATTTATGGCACCACTTGGTGAATCAGCTATGCTTCCTTTGGTTTGCTTCATTACCATTATCCTAGGCTTCAAACTAGAAATGGGTTTCGGTTGCAGTTTGGGAATTAGGTTGTACTGTAGGTGGTTTCTTTCTGCAGTGATTTCCCATTTCTTTTGTAGTAGTTTTGTGTACATTTAACTTGATTTTGAATCAGGTAGGCAAGTCATTTAGATTAAAGCATTATGGTTCTTCCAAGATGTATTGAAGTGTCTTGTTTCACTGAATCGACAATGCTTATAAATTATTTATATTCGTTCGTGAAGATAGATAGGATTGAACTTGTAGTACTCAGTCCTGGACGTTACTTATTAGTTCTGAATCTCTACATTATCATATGTTGTGTAGGGGGAACCAAGTTTGCCAATTGTTTTATCTGCAATGAACAAGGCCATTTGAGCAAGGACTGCCCCAAAAATGCTCATGGGATATACCCCAAGGTACTTCAACTCATACCAGTTCTTGTATGGAAACACGGATCAGATTGTTCTGCCATCAATTTGAAACTGACATTTCACATTTGGGTTGTTTATTTTGCAGGGTGGTTGCTGTAAAATATGCAGCGGGGTGACACATTTGGCTAGAGATTGCCCTGATAAGGGTCAAATGTTTACTCCTTCCAGTGATAGACAAGGTAAATGTACAATTTTGGTTATCCTTTTAGCAATCGTCTTGGAAAGGGATAGGCTGTCTGAAGTAAGACTAGGTTAATGTTTCCAATTTTGGTTCATATATATAATTAGATACAACCTTTTTGTTTCAGCCTTCCGGAATATCGAAAGACCAACAGGGAAGTTGACCAAGTTTATAAGTGGGGATGAGCTTGATGACGATTTTATGCCAGATAGTAACGCATACAACAGCGAGCAAACTGGGAAGGCATCTGATCCGAACGAAGAAGCTACAAAATCCAAGAAGAAAAATGGTCCCAAAGTAGTGAACTTTGAAGGGTAGAATGTGATAGTTGCTTAGGTTTATAACCACCCGGCTTTCCAACAGATACTGCAGATCTCAGAGAGTTGTTCAAGTTCCAGGATGGTATTCCCCTTCCCTAGCAACAAAATTTTGCTTTGCCAACTTCAAGGTTTTGTTTACTTGTGTTGTCGTGTGTGCCAATTTTGTAGAATGTATAGAGAATTACCTTTGACAGACCATAAGTTTGGAGAAATGACCACCCTGTTTAATGTACTAGAATCAATACCCGCGGCTACGCCGCAGGGAGTATTTGGTTATAGGGTAGAAAATTTGGTTATGGTCATGCAAGCTAACCGAAGTCTTATTCGAATTTTACGATTAATAGTTAATCGAGAATAATAAAATGAAGAAATAGAATAGTTGCAGATTTGGTTTTAGATAACCTTTGGTGTTTGGTGTAACTGCACACCAAACTGCAAAACAAAATCCCCAAATAATCGCAAAATTAAACTACCCCAAAGCCAAATGGCCTACCCCATTAGGTAACCTAAACCAAAAAGAATGACAAATAGGTTAATTGGTTGAACGCAGTTAACTGCAACATAACAAAAAATCATAATATCCGATTCTCAAGTAACCGCAACAACATCAATTACAATTTCTAAAATGACAGCAATTCGATTTTGGATAACCAACCAATTCGGTTTGATTAACATAAAATGAACCGAGGTTCAGCCCTATTTAGTTAATGTATAGACATGTCTAGTATCAATCCAATTCGACCCGCGCATCACCTTAAACACATGGATTTATGTGTCATATAATTCGATTTGGGTAGTGCATCACTTGACCTGAGGCATATGAGTTGCATGGTTGAGAGGGTTCAAAACTAACTCACCCCTAATCATAGTTCATTTTATTGGTCTCCTTTCCTTAAAACTAATGAAAGGAAAGAAAAACAATGAAGTACACAATAGATGTCAAACAACATAAAACAAATTAAAAATTGATAAAAAGGGGGAATGAACATATATTGAGTGAACAATGCATAAATAGGAAAGCTACGCCTAACCATCAGGACTCATATAATAAAAACTCTTGGAGAAAAAGGTAAAATTTCAAAAAAAAAAAAAAATCAATGAATGATAACATTCAACTTGTTGTGAGTGAGGAAGAGAGTTAGAAGGTTATCGATCGAGCACAACTTTGACTTGGATCATGAAACATACAATGAATTAACTACTACATAGAGTGATTGCATATCCATATGATAAGCGAATTCAACACTAAAAGTGAACGCATACATATGATTATTATTCATAAGCCTAACATGTACAACACCTCACCTCTAATTCACTAAAAAAATCTCATTGTCCATACAACTTAAGGCACCACTAATCGTTGTCTCTAGCAAGTCCAATTTATTAAGAAAAAATAAAGAACATTCATAATATAATTTGTTGGATCCAAGTTCTATCAACCAGTTAACTCGTTGGATACATAAATCCGATCAAGTAAAGATGGCAGCAAAATGATAGAATTGTAGCAATCAGTTATATATGTAGCAAAACTTAACAATTGAACATAGGAACAAATTGATCAAATCCAAAGCAATATAAAGCACTAAGTTTCATGACCAACAACCACCAATAAGACCACGTTGTAAATTGGAAAAAGAAAGTAAGATGTGCACAGTGAGCAACATATATTAGCATATGAATTTTCCTCATTATTAAATTCATTCAGGTTTCATTTTCTTGAAATCAAATTGAACCGTTTAAGCCTCTTAATAGTTCATTTTTAAGGATATTACTTGTTCAAATTTTTCCGTTTTTTATTTTCGATTCGCATATTAGCATATGAATTTTCCTCATTATTAAATTCATTCAGGTTTCATTTTTTTGAAATCAAATTGAACCGTTTAAGCCTCTTAATAGTTTATTTTTAAGGATATTACTTGTTCAAATTTTTTCGTTATTTATTTTCGATTCGATTTAGTTACACAAATCAATCTCCCATCCTAGTCATACATATAACATCTTTGATCAAATAATAAAGACTTTTTCTTTTAATATATTTGGGTGTATGTGAGGGATGGGGTAAGATGACAAACCCTTTCATCCTCACTAAAGTTTAGTTAATTCGTTACTACATTTTCATCAAACCTAAAGAACTTGAATATATCCTCTGTCTGTGGTATCCTATTCGTGATTTTCAATGGCTTAACCCAACCACACAAAGAGTTTTCCTGAGAGTAGTTGACACGTGAATTAATTTGTAATAAAAAGAAAATGAATTCATTATCAATGTTTACTTCCCTCATAGCAACAATGAAAAAATCAATTAATTAAGATTTTGGATAATCTGAAGAACAAAATGAAAGATGGCAAAGTGTGCTATACATAGGACTATCAGTTCGGATTCAATTTCTTGAATTTCAACTAAACGAAGAGTTAAGGTGTTCTTATCGTTTTTTGGTTTCGGTCCCAAACTTTTTGTGCTTAGCGTTTTTTGTTTGGTCAAAACTGAAAACAATAAAAATAAAATACCAACCAATACACAAACACTCAATATTCAATTAAGCCTCGGGTTTTATTTTCTTGAAATGAAATTGAACCGGTTAAGCCTCGGGTTTCATTTTATTGAAATCAAATTGAACCGTTTAAACCTCTTAACGGTTCATTTTCAAGGAAATTATTTTACTCGGTTTTATTTTTGGTTCGATTCGGCTAAACAAAGTAATCTTCCCCTTTGTTATACATACAATATCTTTGACCAAATGATAAAAGATTTTTTTTAATATATTTGAGTGTGTAAGGGATGGGGTAAGATGACAAGTTCTTTCATTCTCACTAAAAGACAAAAATTAAAATAGTTACTTTGGCAAAAAAGTGTACCTAGCTTTCATTCTCACTAAAATCAAATTGAACCGTTTAAGCCTCTTAATAGTTCATTTTTAAGGATATTACTTGTTCAAATTTTTTCGTTTTTTATTTTCGATTCGCATATTAGCATATGAATTTTCCTCATTATTAAATTCATTCAGGTTTCATTTTTTTGAAATCAAATTGAACCGTTTAAGCCTCTTAATAGTTCATTTTTAAGGATATTACTTGTTCAAATTTTTTCGTTATTTATTTTCTATTCGATTTAGTTACACAAATCAATCTCCCATCCTAGTCATACATATAACAGCTTTGATCAAATAATAAAGACTTTTTCTTTTAATATATTTGGGTGTATGTGAGGGATGGGGTAAGATGACAAACCCTTTCATCCTCACTAAAGTTTAGTTAATTCGTTACTACATTTTCATCAAACCTAAAGAACTTGAATATATCCTCTGTCTGTGGTATCCTATTCGTGATTTTCAACGGCTTAACCCAACCACACAAAGAGTTTTCCTGAGAGTAGTTGACACGTGACTTAATTTGTAATAAAAAGAAAATGAATTCATTATCAATGTTTACTTCCCTCATAGCAACAATGAAAAAATCAATTAATTAAGATTTTGGATAATCAGAAGAACAAAATGAAAGATGGCAAAGTGTGCTATACATAGGACTATCAGTTCGGATTCAATTTCTTGAATTTCAACTAAACGAAGAGTTAAGGTGTTCTTATCGTTTTTTGGTTTCGGTCCCAAACTTTTTGTGCTTAGCGTTTTTTGTTTGGTCAGAACTGAAAACAATAAAAATAAAATACCAACCAATACACAAACACTCAATATTCAATTAAGCCTCGGGTTTTATTTTTTTGAAATGAAATTGAACCGGTTAAGCCTCGGGTTTCATTTTATTGAAATCAAATTGAACCGTTTAAACCTCTTAACGGTTCATTTTCAAGGAAATTATTTTACTCGGTTTTATTTTTGGTTCGATTCGGCTAAACAAAGTAATCTTCCCCTTTGTTATACATACAATATCTTTGACCAAATGATAAAAGATTTTTTTTAATATATTTGAGTGTGTGAGGGATGGGGTAAGATTAGGAATGGCAATGGGGCAGGTTCAGGGCGGGTTTATTGGTACCCAGACCCGCCCCGTGGCAGGGCGGGTCCAGGTCGGGTAATTGATCACGGGTCGCGGGTCGGGGCAGGTCGACCCAATGGGTATGCAATTTATTTGAAAAACATTAGAAATATTCGTTATTTTTATTATAAAACTAAGAAAATAAACAATATAATGACAATTGTAGTTAAATTATTGAAGAAATTGAGGTTTTTACTAATTTACAACTTTATTATAGCTAAAATATGATGCGATAAAGGTAAAATTCAAAGTAATTTGACTAAGATTTCATGTAATTTAGACAAGAACGGGTCGAGAATGGGGCGGGTCAGGGCAGGTCGGGTCGATGAGACTACCCATGCCCGCCCCGCCTACGGGGCGGGTCGGACCCGCCCCAAAACAGGTCAAACAGGTCGGGTAAAACGGGTCAGGTCAAAATTGTCATCCCTAGGTAAGATGGCAAGTTCTTTCATTCTCACTAAAAGACAAAAATTGAAATAGTTACTTTGGCAAAAAAGTGTACCTAGCTTTTATATATAAGATAATAATTGTTATGCTGCTTTGTTAACACACGTCTGGCCAAATTTTTAAAGAAGCACACTATTTGTGGGAGACATTTGGAAAGCTGTTTTATGTTTGTAGAAAAATATAGGATTCATCATTATGTTGGACCAAGAAACGTGGCCAACTGATGATCATTGACTGAATGTAGAGAGAAGCAAATTTTAGCTCATGGATTCTATATTAAGCTTGTAGAAAATGCAGGGACAAGATATATGAAAACCATTCATTGGCTATATATTCTTTCTTCTGTTTCGTGTAACGACTTGCAGGAAAAAACATCAAAAGGCCATTGTTGGATGAGCGGTGAAAAGGGTGAAGAGAAATGTCAACCTTAGTTTAGTCCTGAAAAATCTCCCTAATCCTCGTATTTGTCTGACCTCGGCCATGTCTCCCCAGAATTAAGGATCTCTCCCATATTCCTCCTTCCCATTCTCCATATCTCTTGCATTATCCCATTTTCCATTTTGTTCTTCCTTGTTTCGCCCCAAGCTCCTTTGGCTGTCTCCCTCTTTCAGGACATCACCATGGTAATCTCTCTGTTTCTTTCCTCTGTTTTTCTATGATAATGTTTCCATCCATCTGGTTCTATGTTCATGTTGACGTCTGTTGTTGTTTTATGTTAATCTGTGGGGGGGCATTATGGATAGGCGAACTCAGCATCGGGAATGGCAGTCCAAGACGACTGCAAGCTGAAGTTTCTGGAACTAAAATCAAAGAGGAACTACAGGTTCATCGTGTTCAAGATCGAGAACCAGCAGGTTGTTGTGGAGAAACTGGGGAGCCCCGAGGAAACATACGAGGATTTCACCAAGTGCCTCCCTGCCAACGAGTGTCGTTATGCTGTCTATGACTTCGATTTTACCACTGATGAGAACTGCCAGAAGAGCAAGATCTTCTTCATCGCATGGTAACACACAGCACATTTCGTTACAAACTACATTGCCACAGAGAGGAAACCCATGAACACGAAAAAGAACTCGATGTTTGTTATCTCCTCTGTTTTGCAGGGCACCTGACACATCGAAGGTGAGAAGTAAGATGGTGTACGCGAGCTCGAAAGACAGATTCAAGAGGGAACTCGACGGGATTCAAGTAGAGTTACAAGCAACCGATCCCAGCGAAATGAGTCTTGACATTGTCAAAGGCCGAGCTCTTTAGACACATACTCCGGCATCACAAGTTGTCTAAGTCTTTCTATAATGCTACAGACTTATATACTTTCACCCACTCACCACCATTGAATTCATTCATTGTGGAGCTTCTCTCCTCTCCTCCCCTTACCCCTTCCTACTTGTCCCGCCAGCCATTGTTTTCCTTTTTCTTTTGTGTTGTTCATCAATTGGGTTTAGTTATATTTTTCTCGGGGATCCCTTTGTTTTATGGTTCCCATGAGTTTCTTATACTGAAAAGCAAGCAAGCATCATCTAGTCTGATGTAATTTTTCATTTTGTCATGTTATACATACTCTCCTTTTGTCATCAAAGTCGCTTCTCTAGCTATAATGTTCTTATTGCATTTGCTGGTGAAGAAAGAAAACCAGTAGTGTTGTTACCAAAGCTCTTTCATGTGTTCGATTGATTCACGAGAGTCTATTCTCTGCCTTAATGCTCTGATGTTTGCTGCTGAAGAAAGAGAACCAGTAGCGTTGTTACTATAAGCTCTTTCATGGTCATGGGTTTGACTGATTCAGGCATATATCCTAACTGTTGCCTACACTCTTTGAGAGGCAATCCAAGGAGGATTAAAAAAAGAAACAGCCGAACTTGTTGCTATTAAGTATTAACAGATGCTAAATTTTCAGAAATGTAGATACAAACCTGCAAATATGTGTTCCAGACAAGCACAGAGATAAGCCAGCTATTAGAACGATAAGTTTAAACCAGATCTACATGCTTGTTAGTTGTTACTCGTAAAGCAAATCGCTACACATCATTAAGTTTATCTTACATTCTGATAGTGCTATGTCAAAGTTCACAGCATATATGATATATCGCCATACCAGGATTACCACACAATAACATGATGCTCAGAGTTGCATGCAGTATTCTAATTCCAAACAACTGATAATCGCGCGACGAATCTTCAAAGTTTAGTGAATTGGTACATATGGAAAAACGATGATCATAGACTATAACAAATCATACGAGATCGAACGCAACACATGCATGCATGAACAATACACAGTTGCCTCAGTTACCACGAGATTGCAGATCTTTCTATCATCGTGTGCTTTGCTTCGTTTCAAATAGTTTGCGCTTTATTGACCTTCATATCTTGTTGGTGTCTTTCGATCACCAGATACTCTACCCTTTTAACAACTGTTGTGTATACAAACATAACACAAGCAAAGAAAACACCAACCAAGCCAAGCAGAACCTTGAAATCTCTCACAATCTATATAAATCAAGGCTTCTGCTGACGACGACCCTGCTTCTCCCAATACCTCCTCTCCAACAAATCCACAATCTTCATCGAGCTCTCCCTCTTCTTCACAACCGCATACATCGATGAAGGGTCGTACGGCGGCGGCATGGCGCAGGGAGCCCTCTCCGCTGGACCCTTCACCAGCGAATCCATCATGAACTGCTTCTGAAACCCCTGGTCGTCGGCAGAGCAAGCCATGGCTTCGGAACAGAGCTCCGTCGCGTTCCGCGGCACCTCCGGCTTGAACTTGAGCAGCTTGGCGTACTCGTTCAGGAGGTGGAACATGTAGTCGTACACATTCTCCATTTTTAGGTCGTTCTGGATGAAGTTGCTCGCCGCCCTCCCAATCGCCTGCGCCTGAAATGAAAAAAAACAACAAAATGCACAATTTTTTTCATTCCCCAGCTACAAAAATTCCCGATTGAGCTTAACTAGCTAGTTAGTTCTTCAGTACTCTACCTTCCTCTTGTGGCTGTTCCCCCAATCGACAGCGAACTTGATCGACCTGCACTTATCATTCTCCTTGACCGGCCAGAAATGGCGGACCGGCATCAACCCTCTCGTGAAAAAATCGTAGTAATGTGGGTTTACGATCAACGTGACGGAGTCACACGCCAGAATGTACTTCTGGCTCACCGACCATGCCGAACCCTCAATGTAAATCTTGTACCTGTGAATGCACTGACTCGCCAGGCTAGATTGCTTGTACCCTTGTTGCGACTCCTTGAACCAATCCTGCCTGTAAACCCTAGCGTTCCAATCCTGCTTCTCGGAGACATTACATTTCATGAGATCCAATCTCGTCTCCGCTACGTCAGGGTTTCCCTTCCAGTAAGCGTAGGGCTGCCTGTTCTCCCATTTGGTCCTCGTATTTCCTTCCTTCAGCTCTGGTAGCAACATTTGCCATGGCTTTATGTCAATTTCCGCCCTACCCACAAAAGGGTAAACAAGAATCAAAATCTGATCGACGGAAATTGTTGAATAGAGAAGTTAGATTCACAGTACCATCCCCAGAAGGACCAATCGGGGAAGACGATGTCGAGCGTCTGGTTGTCGCCGCAGTACCGGAACAACGGGGGCGGTGGAGGAGCTTCGGGTCCGGAGAAGTCCGCCGATTTGATCACCGGCCAGTCGACGCAATCGAAGATGAGCTCCAGATCGGGGACTTGGCCGGGGTACCTACGGAGCAACTGTAGGAACCCCCACAGAGTAAAAGTGTCCCTCGTCTGGAACCCTTTCTCGAAAGTCTCGACATAGGCTCGGCCTTTGATTACGACGAGCCGGAAATTCGCCGTCGTTTTGGCCCTCTCGAGCGTCTCCCTCGTGATGCCGGTGCGGGCCCAGGGACGGAGGTCCTCGTGGATCCACCGGAAGAACTCCGGGCAGGTTTTGGACGGGGGACGGTCAGCTGATGACGAAGGAGAAGTTGTCGGGTAGTTCGTGGGGCATGTTCCGGTGAGGGTGAAACCAGGGCAGTCCAGTGGGACCTCGACTCTGTAGGTGGGGCCGGCGCCTGCGTTCCTCTCGTCCTTGATTTCTCTCTCTGCCGCGTCGATCGGAATTTCCTGCGGGAAAGAGGGAAACGGTCAGCACAGCGAGAACCACGTCGTCTTTTTTCCCGTAGCCGATGTTTGGAAAAAGTCAGAGAGAGAGAGAAGGGGGAGATTGAGAAAAAAAAGGCCCAATCGAACTCACGTCGGTGAATAGGCGCGTGGTTATGTACGCGCCGATGAGGAGAAAGACGCCGAAGAAGATGAAGGCGGAGTTTTTATTAAGTGGCATCATGGCAGCGTTGCTACCGTCTCTAATATATTTCGTTTCTGTTCGAATTTCTGACCCACCTCTGTTTTCACTCTCCGGCGACGCTCATTTCTGGAAAATATCTACGATCCCCTGATTTTTTTCTTCTTCCGTCGATTTCCTCTGAGGCGATGTTGCGCTCCTGAAAAACCGAATGAGCAAGGATGGATACCAGCTTATCGTCGGAGTATTTTCCCGGCGGTATGTAATCCAAATACGGTGATCAATCTCTTTCAACTCGGATTCCGGGAGCGTCTTGTCGAGTACGTAGAAAGTGAACGGGAAAGGTAGAATCCGAGCCGTTGTGGCAGCAATTTTTGGAAGAGGTGATGCTTGGTGCAAACCCGGCCAAATGGCGTGATCTGGTTCGTTTGTGTATGGGCCCATTTAGGCAGGCTCCAAATATTCGGGCCCATCTACTCAAATATGGAGAGCCCACTATTGAAACTGGTACAAAAACTACAAAATAATGGAATTTGCTAAGTTGATCCCAATGATTGGAAAAACTAGTCCCCTCTGTATATAGTATAGCATAGCACCTATTCCTCTACGCCTGCTGCTGCTGCTTGTTCTGATTGTCCCAGTACCTCTTCTCCCATAACTCAACCTGCTTAATCGAATTCGAATTCCTCCTCAAAACCGCACTAAGCGATGGAGGGTCGTAAGGCGTAGGAATCGTGCATGGAGCCCTTTCCGAAGGACCCTTCACCAACGACTCCATCATGAACTTCTTCTCCAACCCAGCAGCATTGCAAGCCATTGATTCCGAACACAGCTCAACAGCTCGCTTCGGAACAACAGGCTTGAACGTCAGTAGCTTCGAGTATTGAGTCAAGAGATGGAGCATGTAGTCGTACACGAAGTCCATCTTCAACTCGTCCTGAATGAATGAGCTTGCCGCCTTTCCTATCTCTTGAGCCTACAACGAAAAAGTATCCGCTCCAAAGTCAAGTTATTGAAATGCACATTACTCTGCTGACCAAGGTGTGAGTTTGGAACTATGATTATTACCTTTTGCTTGTGGCTGTTGCCCCAATCGACCGAGAACTTGATCGATTTGCACTTGTCGTGTTCCTGGATAGGCCAGTAATGATGAAATGGGACCAAGCTTCTGGTGAAGAAGTCGTAGTAATGGGGCTTTACAATCAGGGTGACGGAGTCACAGGCCATTATGTACTTCTGGCTCACTGACCACGCGGAACCTTCGATGTAGATCTTGTACCTGAAATGTCACATAAACATAGAGCTGCTGGTCAAGAATGTAACTTCCAAAGGGGTGATCAGATCGAAACAATGGATGGGTTATGAACTATTGAACTGACCTGTGCCGGCATTGGTTGGCCAAGTCCGATTGCTTGTACCCTTGCTGTGATTCTTTAACCCAATCCTGCTCACCAAAACCAATTGTGACTCATTATCGCTTCAAATCGAACACAATACTCGATCTAATTCCAACCCGATGTTATCGGAAACTACGATAAATCCTATGACGCGATAGTAACAGTTCATCGACTATGAATCTCACCTGAGCAAAGACGCGAGCATTCCAGTCGTGTTCTTCAGAGACATTGCATTTCATAAGGTCCATTCTCGTCTCCGCCACCGCCGGATTCCCCTTCCAATAAGCATAAGCCTCTCTTTCCATCCATCTCTTCCTCTTGTTCCCCTCTTTCAGCTCCTTCTGCAACCCCTCCCACGGCTTTATGTTTATCTCCGGCCTAATGCACAATTCATCAACACCTAATTAAGTACACTGTAATCAAAATTAACTCCACAGAAGATGAGAATCGAAGGGTTTCTACTTTCTACTGTCCACTTACCATCCCCAAAACGACCAATCAGGGAAAACGATATCGAGCGTGCGATCATCCCCACAGTACCGAAACAGAGGCGGTGGAGCGACGGTGGCGTTATCCCCATTTTCACCGTAGCCGCCGGATTTGGCGACCACCGGCCAGTCAACGCAATCGAACATCAGCTCCAAATCGGGCACCTGACCGGGGAACCGCCGCAGCAGCTGAAGAATCCCCCACAGCGTGAAGACGTCCCTCGTCTGGAACGCCCTCTGATACCTCTCCACGTAAGCCTTCCCTTTCACGATTACGAGCCTGAAGTTGGCCGTTCTTTTCGCCGTCTCCACCGCCTCCCTCGTGATCCCCGTGTGGGCCCACGGCCGCAGGTCCTCGTGGATCCAACGGAAGTACTCCGGACACGTGGATGGCGGGCCAGGTTCGTCGGTCGCGCCTCCCCTTGTAGTCGGGTAGTTCGCCGGGCATGTTCCGGTGTGGTTGAGTGCAGCGCAGTTGAGTGGAATCTCGAGATGCTTTTTCGGAATTTTGTCGGGAAGCGTGATTTTGCTGGCCGTTAGAGTCTTCGCCGAGCTGCTGAACGCCTGCGACGAAGAATGAGGGAAATGACTTAAATAATTATTTATTACAATAAAATAATTACTACGGCTGACACGGCGGGGATCACTGCACGTGGAAACGATCGAACGACGTCCGACCACCGACGGTCTCTGGTTGGTTTGGGAAGCTCGCCGACATGAAAAGAAACAAGGCTATTATACGACATCGTATCAGGCCCGGCAGGGGCAGGCGGCAGCTCGAGCTAGGCGAAAAGTCAAAAAAGCAAAACGGCAGCAATTATTGACAGTGAGAGCTTGAATTTTTTTCTTCTTCTTACATTGGAATCGAGGAGGCGAGTGGAGATCAACGCGCCGCCGAGGAGGAGCAGAAGGGAGAAGACGACGGCTGACGATCTCGACGGTAGCTTCATTAATGGCCGACAGATATTTTCCACCAATTGGCGGGAAGCTCCAGATCCGATCCACCTCTGCCAACTCAGCTGCATGTTTTGTTTCTCCAATACCGAACTGCGCCGCCGTTCAACGCTCCGTCACCGTCATGTTGCTACCCTTCCCCCAACTGGTCGATTCAGTCTCCAATTCGATTTCAGGAACTGGGTTGGGAATCAGAGGTGTAGCTGAAGACCAATTGCTGGGAAAACAAGCGAATCGGCGTAAATGAGAAACAGGGGAAGGAGGAAGGTGCTGGATCCCAAGTGTGCTATAGTAAAGAAAGATTGTTAAGCGAGAAGTAATATAGGGGAGGCGCCTGAGCTTTTCTCGTGACGAGGCGGCGACTACTTACTTTCAGGAGGAAATAATTTAAGTAATGGGGAAAACGGCAAGGAAGATGGGAAGTGAAGCTTCAGCAGCTTTTGAAATTTATAATTTCAGAAACGAAGGGGAAACTTTTTTAAAAGGGAGACTTTGTGGAGGGCACAAACTAAGAGCTTCGAAGTGACACGTTATTTATTAGGGTTTGTATATGTGTGGAATTTTGATTCATCGTTCTGTTTTAATAGTACTGTGAGATCTCTGCTCCTCTGGGCCCTTTCCTCTCCCTTGTCGTTCTTTCTCCTGGTTCGGTGCATGAAGTGTAATTAATGAGCATAGACATGTGCGAGGATGGATTCAATCTGGTTCGGCTGCTGAATTAGTAGGTGTAATGTAAGTCTGTGTTTACGACTCCTTAGTTTTTTTTTTACAAAGGGATCTTTATTGCACTTTGAATAATTGATTACAGAGAGAAAATAAAAACTTGACTTCAAAACAAGATCAAGGAAACAATGGAACCCAGGATGATACCAAACCATGCTAAGAAAATACAACCAGTGGAAGCACAGCACAGAATGACATCACTCAAAACAAACATCCAAGTTCTTGAGACAAAGGCAGAGCATTTATAATCCCTCTTTCTTCCAACCAAACCAAGAGCAAGAAGATCAGAACAGCTTGTCCGATCACAGCGAGATCCATGGCATTGGACTTGCAAGCCATTTGCCGTCTCCTGGGGAGTGCACAAAGTCATCCATCACAGTGAATCTCAAAAGAGATTGCCTGACGGTGGAAGAGGCTGTGATGCAGATTGCTCCAAGCTGTGAAGGCAGAGGGGGCCAAGGTAGAGAGGATCGGTTCAAAGGGGAGAAAGCTTCCAAGTAGATCAACAGATCACCACAAAAGAACCGACTTCCACCGCAACCACCGGAGATGACTCACCTCTTCACGATCCGGCAACCATCCAAGCAGCAACACCACCTTGGGGAAGCCATAGGGGGGGGGGGGAGATGAGAATGGCTTCACCTTGCAGATGAGACCACCAACCTGGAAAGAACAACCATCACAAAGCAAAGGTCAAGCTTCCCAAGCTGCAACCTCCAGATCCTCAAACGAGCAAGCCTTGAAACCACAAAATCCTAGATGTGGAATGCCAAAAAGGCTGGAGAGACTGAAATTATGAAGATGAAAAGCCTAGAAGCAAAGGCCTGAAGATCGAAAACACGACAAGCAAGAAAAGCGATAAAGAAAAGGAAACTTGGGCTGCCGCCGGTCACCTGAAGCAGCCGGCGACAGCCATGGAAGATGAAATTTAGTTGCTGGGTCGTGAATCAGACGAATTTCATGTGTGCAAGATGAAATTTAGTTTCTAACTCTTTAGAAGAACAGGTAACAAAATCACTATTTCATAGAGTCACATCACAAGGGTGGGTTTTTAGTAATTAACCAAACTTTGAAGTAGTTTTGAGCCATTAAGTCCAATTAATTAATTATGACCCAAATTGGACTCAAGTCAATGAGTATTCGACCCGGTTAAAGCAAGTTTTACATGTGTCGGGTTGGGTTGTAACATAATACTCTTTACTCACTTTTGCAATTGACGGTTGGGTCGGGTGCAAATTTATTTTCTTTAGTGACAATTGAACCTAATTCGAACCGATCAAAGCGAGTCGAACCATTGTTGACGAATTTTGGGTTGGGAACGGATTTTACCCGCTTTTGTAATTAACGGATTGGGTCGGGTGTAGATTTTGTTAAAACTCGCCCCAATTTATCAAACGTGTCTCCGATTATCTTCTCAAAGGGATAGAAACAAGAGAAGCTATCTCACTTTGTAACCTGGTTTGAAAGTAGGCTCTGCAAATATGATGCTTTCGAATTTTCAGAATGCTTTTAGGGAAACCTGATTTTGAAACTCTTGGCAAGTGCCTCCCATAAACATGATCCAAGGGAGTGCATAGGTTAATTAGAAATATGTTGAGATGACATTATCACCCAATGAAGAACAAAATGATAGGAACCTTAAGGAGTTACTAAGAGCAAGTGCATCATTTTTTCCATTTGAATTGGTTATGCCAATAAATTCTTCTGTCTTTTTTACTCAATTTAGTTTGGTGTTTCAAAACCAATTTTATGATGATTAAATTGTTTTTCAACTATGTTGGGCTGAAGATCTTCCCCATACAAGAAAAAAAGATTTTGACCAGTTTTAGGTGCAATCTCACTATGATTAATTGAGGTTTGTTCCTTTTGTAACTTCTTCTTTTATTCCTTTTACATGTTTGTTTTCTAATGTGGCCTCGGTTCTTTGTTTTCCTTTTTGCTAGAGTTTTGCAGTAAGAATAGGGAATGAGTTGCAGATGCAATTGAGAGGACTAGAGCTAAATATTGTTGTTCTAGGACGAGGAAGAGAATGTCATGTTACAGCCAGGTATTTGTTTTCCTATAACGGTCTGAAACTTTAGCTCCTACAAACCGAGTTTTAAGTTTTCATGATGTGAAATAATTTGATCTTTATGTGTTATGTTTGGGGGCAGGGGTGCAATTGGAGCATGGTGGCAGGTTCGTTAATTGCACTGTGGTTATCAATAATGGAATGTATTTATGTTTGATGTGAAATAATTTGAATGATCTTTAGAAAGCAACCATGTGAAAAAACCCAAATCTACCATAGCTGCTAGAATGATCTTTATTCTTTAGGGTAAAAATACTAAGCAAAGAGTCACGAGTTTGCCTAGACCTAGGACATGGATAGGTAGAAGGAATGAGAGGTGACAACTCAAGTTCTTGTTATTGATAATCTATAATTCGACGAATTGGAGGCTGAGAGACGACTAATAGTCTAATACTAGCGTTTTCTTATTGATGTTATGAAAATAACAAGAGATTAGATGAGAGACGAGAATAACTTAAATTGGAAAGCCAAAATTAAGTGGATGGGGACTTGTGAGTTATGAAAGAATAGGGAATGACCAAAAGTTGTGTGATATATTTCATTAATTTTTAATTTTTGTTGTTTCTTGGTATTTCGATATATTTCAGTATATATTGATCCCCAACCCGTAATCCCGAATACCAAATAGCACTCCAAAATGAATCCTAATCTCGATCCCTAAAAAATAACTCGGTATTCGGTAATACCAAATAGTATTAAGTTTGGTATGATATTCGATATATTCCAAATACCAGTACCAAACTTCCAGTCCTATTTGCAGCCACTAACTAATTGGTTAATTGCTATGTTTTCAAAATGATTTACTCCTCAAACCAACAGTTAGGTGGGCTGACAACGTTATGTTTTCAAAATTATTCACTCTCCTTTCCTATAACTATGGACTCTGCTGGTGTGTAGTTTAAGAATTTCAGTTATGCTGTGGAGAGGAATTCTAGTTTTGGTTTTAGTCTCCATTCCACCGTCTCTTACTGATTTTGTATGAGTTTCTATGTTCTCTTCCTTGGAGATGGGCGGCTATTTTAATAAAAAAATGCCAGATTTGTGAGGTTCAGCGACGGTGTGGAGAAGAAGCTAATTTCCAGGTTCCACGCAGCTTTTGGATTTCAACTGATGGTTCTCTCTCTTTATTAGTTTGTTTACTCTCTTTTCTTTGACGATTTTGTTCTCATTCTTTCTTTTGTGGATTTCTTCGTCCACTTTCAAAGGGGTTCGGGCGTCGAGTTCTGTTGCAAATGAATTGATCTCAATTTCTTAGGAAACTTTGTTACCCCTTGAGCTTGCGAAGCAACAGGCGGAACCTACAGTGGTGGTGAGCTCCTCTCTCTTGATTTTATTTCTTTCTAAGGTTCAAGTTCACCTGAGTATGGTTTATATCGTTTTATCTTTTCGGTTGTCTTCTCGGTCTTCTTCCTCTGTAATTTTACTGTTTTATTTAGCTTACATGTTTGTTCTCTGTTAGGAGTAGCGACAACTATTTCACCAGCCACTTCATAACATATTTTGCACTATTGAAGTGGCTTTCTTTTAGGTTAGGTACATTTTTTATAGGCTGGAACGAATGTAACTAGGTTCTGTAGTTGTTGAATGTGTTATTGCTATGTAATTGTAACATCCCAAACCTCGGTTAATTTGTAAATCAATTCGGTTTGATGAGGAATCAAGAATTTCAACCATACTCGAAGAAATTTCGTTCTCAAATAATGGTTTGAGAAAATAAAGAATATTCTGGAATGATGAACAAGAGAATTCGAACAAAACTTGACTCCATAAGTTAGAAAATTCTTTCACGATCACGTAGAATTTTACGGAAGTAAATTTGGATGCCGGAAGTAAATTTGGATGCCAAACGAGTGAGATATGACATTTTGAAGCCTAGACTTCGTTATTGAAATAACGTACGTGTCGACACTAATTTGGGCACATCTTCTTCGTTTGGAATCGAAACGACGAGCCGTTTGCGCTCACACGATCGTATCAACAAGGAGAGGTTTTATGAAGGAACAAATCCAGAATAGAGTATACCAATCAAGCCTCGTTTTTTTTATTGTCCATCGGTGTACAAATGAATGGAAAGAAAAGTTGCCATTATTATTATGGGAGGTGGGAGCTATCACCCCATTACTTTTGCAGGGGAGATGTAGGGAGAATTATTAGGGAGACAAGAGTAGAGATAAGTGGGCTCTCTCCACCTAATTTCTGCACTAAGTAAAGGCACGGTTGTAGAGCTTAAATGAAAGGAGGAAGAGTCTCCTTTTGTGCAATCACTACACCACTACCATTACAGACCATCATATGCGAACCAAAGAGAGTGTGAGAAAGAAAGAAAGAAAAGAGGAAGAAACCACTCTTCTGTGGCCTGGGTTAGGGTAATATGGAGGTCCGGAAGCCAAATACGAAGTCAGAATCGCCATTGGAGGTTCGTAGAAGCTCATGGGAGGCTCGTCGAAAAGTTGCGTCGGCGGCACCGGCGTCGTCGACTTCAACAAAACTCCAAAAGGCTGGTACCATGACAAAGAGGACGATCCCAGGAGCATCCCAGTTTCGACGAAATTAAATTTGGAGGTCTGTAGATACCTCGTCGGAGCTTCGCCGGAACGTCGCCGGAGTGTCGCCGGATGCTGGAAAAATAAACTTCAACAAAACTTCAAAAGATGAATATGGTTGCGAAGAGGGCGATCTCAGGAGCGTCACGGTGTCGACGAAATCGAATTCGGACGTCGGATGAGGGAGAACCGAGTCTCCCAAGTTTGAGGAAGAATATGTCAACCATCCAGGTACCATGTCTGGTAAATCGAAAAGTTAAAGGACCTCTCTGTAATTTTCCTACAGAGACGGGTCAACCTCTTTTTAGTTGACTGGTAAATATCGTATTTAGTCCCTGGTACTTTGAGTACTAACGGAATTCGTATTTCGTTCATAATTCGTTCGTTTGACGTCCAAACGACGAACCGTTTTCACCTACAGGATCGTGAGAACGAGGAGAATATTTTGAAACCAAGATCTGGAATTTCCAGAGCTTTCACAGAATCGGATTTCGTCATAAATAAGGTGTGTGGGCTTACGGTAAAAGGGAACCGGAATTACGTGTTTATTTCTAAATACGCATGATTGAGTTGATGATTAATGATTATGATGGATTTGTGATTGGTTCATGGTTGTGATCTTGGATGAAATTATTGATGAAGTTAACTGATTGTTATGATAATAATTATTATTAATCTCGTATTGGAATTGTTGATGTATTTGGTGAACTCCGAATATTTTCCGAAAAGGTCTATTGAGATCAGAATAAGGAAAGGAAATTTGAGGAATCTTGAGACGACATTAGTCATGATATATTATCATGACAATGATTATAGTGATAATAATTGACTTTGCGGAATTAATTGAAGTTATGACGATAAAAGGGTGAAATTGGGTATTTATAAATTGGATTAGTATATGAAAAGGAATTCTGGTCAGAATAATTACATCAAAGGATTTGTGATCTTTGTTGGATTTTTTTGGATGAATGAAACCGGTTTCTACGTGGTTTCGTTACTAAAGGGAACGTATTATGATTTTCAGAATAGTGGTGATTAAGAGAAAATTATTTAAACTAGAGTGTGAGTTCAAAGTGATTACCATGAGTAATTTTATCTTGGATTTAATTTGATTTACGTTTTATGATTAATTTTGAGAAATGGTTAATTGAGTATTTAATTGAAATATTGAAAATAGTCTTATTAATGAATCATGACGAACTATGATTTAGTTTGTACTTTAAGAAATAATTATTGAGAGATGTGTTATTAGGGGAGACCTTTTCAAATGAACTTTGATAATCATGAGAATTATATATATGAGTATGGTCCTTAGAATGGTTTAAAGTGATTAATAGAAATTCATGAAGATGAGATTTTGATCATAATATATTTAGTTGCTATTTTGTTATAATTAATTAATGGAAGATATGGATAAACCGATGTATTTTAGATTATATGGTTCGTATGATAAAATGATTTATGATGAATGAAATTATATTGTTCATGATATATGATTATGATATGATGATGATGATAATGACGATACGGATATTGATTGCTAGTGATGCGATTGACGTGTATGATTATGACGTGATTAGAATATCGATTGGTATAAATGTGATTGGTAATTATAAATATTACTGGGATATTTTGTGACAACGTTGATATGATGAATGCTTTGATTAATGATGATGCGGATGAAATATTATCATGATCGATTTGTATTTGATGTGTTAAATGGTTACGATGAGTGAATGAAGTATTGATAAATTGAGTACTTGGTAGATTTGTCACGTTTGATTGAAGAGAATGAATTACTTATATCATTGAGAAGATGATGATTATATTGAGATCATGCAATGCATCAAAGTATGCATAGATGATGTGAGATATGCATGGACTGGGAATATCAATGGGACGCTATTGATTTCTTGGATCGATTGAGATATGATGGAAGAGAGAAATTGATATTGTTTGATCTTGTTAAATCACATAGACATAGAAGGGCCTATGCCTACCCCTATGAGATTGATTGGGCTGCGGTCCTGATGAAAGGATTTATGATAATCCTAGATTGGATGAGATTGTGGTTTTTGATATAACCACTGAGATGATGAGCTCGAGCGGGGTGGGCGTATGGTGACCTTAGCGCGCAAATTAATAATAAATGGAGAGTCTGCATTTCATGCATTGCATATGATATATATACGATGGAGATGATTTCCATGAAGGAAATCGTGAAGTGATATTTGATTGATGATTGATTGAATGATTGATATGGTTAATGCCAAATTGGTGATTTGATTTTGGATGAATGATTGATATGGTCAATTCCAAATTGGTGATTTGATTTTGGATGAATGATTGATATGGTCAATTCCAAATTGGTGACTTGATCATGGATGAATGATTGACATGCTTGATGCTTAAATGATGAGTTGACTTTGAATGAAGGATTGATATGATGGATTCATGAGTTGAGGTAAGTTTACGATTTTATGTCGATATACGACTTGATTAATGAAAGCCATACCATGAGGAATTGGGTTAAAGATGAATTTGGATTGACGACCTAGAAAGAAATCTAGGGATTAATGAGATTTTTGTGTGGCATGATAATTTGTTGATGATGTGTTTTTAATCAACAAGATGTGATGATGTGTTGGCATGCTAACAATAGTTTTGCCGTATAGGCCAGGTCCACACACTCAGCTTAGTAGCTGACCCATTTTTCTTTCTAGATGTGACAGGTGTGATAAATTGAGGATGACTCTGGCACTGCACAATGATCGATGGAGGATTTTGATTTAAAAGGTTTTTCACCTATTGGTGTATTCTAGAATCCTTATTTCACGATTCGGGTTTTGAGCATGCATGATAGTTTACAATGGTCAAGCATGATCATTAACTTGAGTTGAGTATGAATGGAGTACATAAGATTGATAGTCTGGGTTTGGTGAATCTTGAACTTGACGAAGAGGGATTAATGAATTGAGAATATGATTTTTGGTAAATTGTTATGATGAGTTGAATTTTAAACATGTGAGAATGATGTGGATGTGAGTTGAGTCGAGATTTTGAATACGTAAACCCCGAGTGATTTCCGCTGCGCGGTTGAACCATCGGTTCGACTCATGATTTTAGGGTGGGGTGTTACAAGTGGTATCAGAGCCCGGTTTGTTTTCTGCATTATAGGTATGTTACTTTCACTCTTGAGAACTGATCACTCTCAAAAGGGGGAAAGTACTCCATACCCGTATTTGCACTGAACTTTCCAGGAGTTGAGACCAACCTGATGTTGTGATGCATAGTCAGAGTCCGTTGCATTCAGTAAAAATGATTTCGAGCATTTTTAGAGAAACATTTGAAATGAAATCGATTTGAGAAGTCTTTTGAAGAAAGTCTTTTGACGAGTCATTCGAGACGAAAATTGAAAAGTGATTTCCTCCTCCAAGGAACCATCGATCTGTGCAAAAGGTGCCACATCCCAATTTGAGGGATGGAGTTTCCTGATTCAGGGGAAACAAGAGTTGAAAGAGTTAGTAGGAATTCTACAAACCTTTAAGGATTGCGGATTTCATTTTGGGGTTTAGAATCCCAAGTTTCATGATATTAGTTGAGGTCAGAGAGACCCAATCTAATGATAACTTGTTGATACATTAGACTAAATACGTGACGAGTGATAACATGGATTGAGAAAAAATAAATTTCTCGAGGATTGATGGAACAAGATCGCTCAGTAGACTATTAAGTACGAGAACGAGTCAAGATGAGGAGACGTTAACTAGCATGCGGTGGAAATGACGACGGACGATCGGCAACGAGATACATCATCAAAATAAGGATGTGAAAGGAGATAGATGACCAAAAGTTCAAGTCAACACCTTAAAAGTCAGAGGTACCAATAGAGAGTAGATGTGATGGGGCGAATAAAGGACAAGTTGGGAGCTAGAGTAAAGGCAATCAGCCCAAAGCTAACTCATGACATGATCAACTTATGATCGGTGTGAGTATGCTAAAGCACAAAAGAGACGTGCGATGGCAAGCACGTAGCCAAAATTTAGAGGCGATATAGATTAAACTCTAAAGTGACAAATTTGTGCTATATTTTATCGGATGATAACTGACACTAAGGGATTAGCATCATGAGCAAAAACGACGAAACTCTAGATATATCCCCAAACCATGAATCAAATTCTTGATGAATAGATTGAGAGGATGGGAGGATGTGAAGGAAAAATTCATCTCAAAGAATGAGAGTTTTCTTGAATACAATAAGGAGATGCCGAAGGACTGAGACTTGATGTTTCATCTGGAAGAGACAAGGTTCTATTGCGAACAATCATGTAAGCGATTGTGACAGGAGACAAGCAAGATGACAAATCGTTTAGTGACGCCATTTATGACGAATGGTTGAGGAGGAGATCATGGATTACATGAGAATAGATAACGCCTAGTTTTGATTTGGAAGCTAAAGAACATTAATGCCTAAGGTCGTGGAGAAAGGCTGGAAAAGTAGGAACACGTCCAGAGGGACCATCAAAGCATAAGTGGGGGAGCGTGCTAAACTAACAAAAGTGTACCCCTCAAGATACATGATTAACCTAATGATTATGGCAATAGGTTGACATTATTCAATGGTTCCACTTCTTAAATCATCACAACCAAGTGAGAAAAGACGTGAGAAAAAGAGAGGGTTGACCATCCTCGGTGGCTTAATTAAGTATTGTCCACTAAGGAGTTTAGTGCACAGGATGTGTACGGCCAGATTGACCAACACTTTGATTTCGGGGACGAAATCCAATTAAGAGGGGGAGAGTTGTAACATCCCAAACCTCGGTTAATTTGTAAATCAATTCGGTTTGATGAGGAATCAAGAATTTCAACCATACTCGAAGAAATTTCGTTCTCAAATAATGGTTTGAGAAAATAAAGAATATTCTGGAATGATGAACAAGAGAATTCGAACAAAACTTGACTCCATAAGTTAGAAAATTCTTTCACGATCACGTAGAATTTTACGGAAGTAAATTTGGATGCCGGAAGTAAATTTGGATGCCAAACGAGTGAGATATGACATTTTGAAGCCTAGACTTCGTTATTGAAATAACGTACGTGTCGACACTAATTTGGGCACATCTTCTTCGTTTGGAATCGAAACGACGAGCCGTTTGCGCTCACACGATCGTATCAACAAGGAGAGGTTTTATGAAGGAACAAATCCAGAATAGAGTATACCAATCAAGCCTCGTTTTTTTTATTGTCCATCGGTGTACAAATGAATGGAAAGAAAAGTTGCCATTATTATTATGGGAGGTGGGAGCTATCACCCCATTACTTTTGCAGGGGAGATGTAGGGAGAATTATTAGGGAGACAAGAGTAGAGATAAGTGGGCTCTCTCCACCTAATTTCTGCACTAAGTAAAGGCACGGTTGTAGAGCTTAAATGAAAGGAGGAAGAGTCTCCTTTTGTGCAATCACTACACCACTACCATTACAGACCATCATATGCGAACCAAAGAGAGTGTGAGAAAGAAAGAAAGAAAAGAGGAAGAAACCACTCTTCTGTGGCCTGGGTTAGGGTAATATGGAGGTCCGGAAGCCAAATACGAAGTCAGAATCGCCATTGGAGGTTCGTAGAAGCTCATGGGAGGCTCGTCGAAAAGTTGCGTCGGCGGCACCGGCGTCGTCGACTTCAACAAAACTCCAAAAGGCTGGTACCATGACAAAGAGGACGATCCCAGGAGCATCCCAGTTTCGACGAAATTAAATTTGGAGGTCTGTAGATACCTCGTCGGAGCTTCGCCGGAACGTCGCCGGAGTGTCGCCGGATGCTGGAAAAATAAACTTCAACAAAACTTCAAAAGATGAATATGGTTGCGAAGAGGGCGATCTCAGGAGCGTCACGGTGTCGACGAAATCGAATTCGGACGTCGGATGAGGGAGAACCGAGTCTCCCAAGTTTGAGGAAGAATATGTCAACCATCCAGGTACCATGTCTGGTAAATCGAAAAGTTAAAGGACCTCTCTGTAATTTTCCTACAGAGACGGGTCAACCTCTTTTTAGTTGACTGGTAAATATCGTATTTAGTCCCTGGTACTTTGAGTACTAACGGAATTCGTATTTCGTTCATAATTCGTTCGTTTGACGTCCAAACGACGAACCGTTTTCACCTACAGGATCGTGAGAACGAGGAGAATATTTTGAAACCAAGATCTGGAATTTCCAGAGCTTTCACAGAATCGGATTTCGTCATAAATAAGGTGTGTGGGCTTACGGTAAAAGGGAACCGGAATTACGTGTTTATTTCTAAATACGCATGATTGAGTTGATGATTAATGATTATGATGGATTTGTGATTGGTTCATGGTTGTGATCTTGGATGAAATTATTGATGAAGTTAACTGATTGTTATGATAATAATTATTATTAATCTCGTATTGGAATTGTTGATGTATTTGGTGAACTCCGAATATTTTCCGAAAAGGTCTATTGAGATCAGAATAAGGAAAGGAAATTTGAGGAATCTTGAGACGACATTAGTCATGATATATTATCATGACAATGATTATAGTGATAATAATTGACTTTGCGGAATTAATTGAAGTTATGACGATAAAAGGGTGAAATTGGGTATTTATAAATTGGATTAGTATATGAAAAGGAATTCTGGTCAGAATAATTACATCAAAGGATTTGTGATCTTTGTTGGATTTTTTTGGATGAATGAAACCGGTTTCTACGTGGTTTCGTTACTAAAGGGAACGTATTATGATTTTCAGAATAGTGGTGATTAAGAGAAAATTATTTAAACTAGAGTGTGAGTTCAAAGTGATTACCATGAGTAATTTTATCTTGGATTTAATTTGATTTACGTTTTATGATTAATTTTGAGAAATGGTTAATTGAGTATTTAATTGAAATATTGAAAATAGTCTTATTAATGAATCATGACGAACTATGATTTAGTTTGTACTTTAAGAAATAATTATTGAGAGATGTGTTATTAGGGGAGACCTTTTCAAATGAACTTTGATAATCATGAGAATTATATATATGAGTATGGTCCTTAGAATGGTTTAAAGTGATTAATAGAAATTCATGAAGATGAGATTTTGATCATAATATATTTAGTTGCTATTTTGTTATAATTAATTAATGGAAGATATGGATAAACCGATGTATTTTAGATTATATGGTTCGTATGATAAAATGATTTATGATGAATGAAATTATATTGTTCATGATATATGATTATGATATGATGATGATGATAATGACGATACGGATATTGATTGCTAGTGATGCGATTGACGTGTATGATTATGACGTGATTAGAATATCGATTGGTATAAATGTGATTGGTAATTATAAATATTACTGGGATATTTTGTGACAACGTTGATATGATGAATGCTTTGATTAATGATGATGCGGATGAAATATTATCATGATCGATTTGTATTTGATGTGTTAAATGGTTACGATGAGTGAATGAAGTATTGATAAATTGAGTACTTGGTAGATTTGTCACGTTTGATTGAAGAGAATGAATTACTTATATCATTGAGAAGATGATGATTATATTGAGATCATGCAATGCATCAAAGTATGCATAGATGATGTGAGATATGCATGGACTGGGAATATCAATGGGACGCTATTGATTTCTTGGATCGATTGAGATATGATGGAAGAGAGAAATTGATATTGTTTGATCTTGTTAAATCACATAGACATAGAAGGGCCTATGCCTACCCCTATGAGATTGATTGGGCTGCGGTCCTGATGAAAGGATTTATGATAATCCTAGATTGGATGAGATTGTGGTTTTTTATATAACCACTGAGATGATGAGCTCGAGCGGGGTGGGCGTATGGTGACCTTAGCGCGCAAATTAATAATAAATGGAGAGTCTGCATTTCATGCATTGCATATGATATATATACGATGGAGATGATTTCCATGAAGGAAATCGTGAAGTGATATTTGATTGATGATTGATTGAATGATTGATATGGTTAATGCCAAATTGGTGATTTGATTTTGGATGAATGATTGATATGGTCAATTCCAAATTGGTGATTTGATTTTGGATGAATGATTGATATGGTCAATTCCAAATTGGTGACTTGATCATGGATGAATGATTGACATGCTTGATGCTTAAATGATGAGTTGACTTTGAATGAAGGATTGATATGATGGATTCATGAGTTGAGGTAAGTTTACGATTTTATGTCGATATACGACTTGATTAATGAAAGCCATACCATGAGGAATTGGGTTAAAGATGAATTTGGATTGATGACCTAGAAAGAAATCTAGGGATTAATGAGATTTTTGTGTGGCATGATAATTTGTTGATGATGTGTTTTTAATCAACAAGATGTGATGATGTGTTGGCATGCTAACAATAGTTTTGCCGTATAGGCCAGGTCCACACACTCAGCTTAGTAGCTGACCCATTTTTCTTTCTAGATGTGACAGGTGTGATAAATTGAGGATGACTCTGGCACTGCACAATGATCGATGGAGGATTTTGATTTAAAAGGTTTTTCACCTATTGGTGTATTCTAGAATCCTTATTTCACGATTCGGGTTTTGAGCATGCATGATAGTTTACAATGGTCAAGCATGATCATTAACTTGAGTTGAGTATGAATGGAGTACATAAGATTGATAGTCTGGGTTTGGTGAATCTTGAACTTGACGAAGAGGGATTAATGAATTGAGAATATGATTTTTGGTAAATTGTTATGATGAGTTGAATTTTAAACATGTGAGAATGATGTGGATGTGAGTTGAGTCGAGATTTTGAATACGTAAACCCCGAGTGATTTCCGCTGCGCGGTTGAACCATCGGTTCGACTCATGATTTTAGGGTGGGGTGTTACAGTAATCCAACTGCTATAAATTCTATTAGGGGAAGTCTGTTTCCTACAGGCTCAAACAACTCTTTTCAGTTCGTGCACTTTTATGATGATCTTGTCTTTTTTCTTCACAACTTGATGTGAATGCACAACATCCCAATTGTTGGTAGGAAAGCTGGTGTGATTTTTCGGTTCTCAAACTTCTGTTTGTGGCACTTGAATCCTGCATAATATCGATGCACTTCACTGCTACTTTCTTATGTCAAATGCATATGTACCATGTTGGTGTTTGAAAGTTCCAATCTTTACTTATTTATCCATAAAAGTGCGCTTCTTTACTTTTGGTTATCTGCTCCTTTTTTCATGTTGATGCATCTTTTCAGTTTAAAATTTTGGAGGTTTGCTGATGGATATAAGAAATAATTGGTGTGACCCTATCTAATTTTCTTTTCCTTGGAGGAAACGGTATTCGATTCCTGTCTTGGCCGTTTCAGAAATTAAGACCTTGGAAAATTGATTTGGCTTCACCTGATCCTGGTAACCATCTCCTCTTCTTGCGTTTGGTTTTATACTCTGGCTATTTACTTCATTCTGGCATTTGATTCTTTGAAATTCATTTTCTAGGGTCATGGTTAGACTACGTTTGGTTTAGTAATTTGGTTGGTTTCCTCATTCTGGCTTTTGATTGACTCCCAATTTTAGAGGTTATGCTTCAAAGCCCTCATTTGGATATGATTTCTGAGTTGTTGATTTTGCGGGGAAAAGCCAATTGAGCTTTGATTATTAGGGATGATCAGATGAACTCTTCCTCATTTCTTCCTCAAATTTGGGGTAATACAAAAAAGGATAAGTAACTACAAAATAAGTACCTAATACACACTCACAAGAGAAGAGCTTCCCGCCTTTTGTCGTACTATATGCAATCGGTGCGTGGATTTCTTTGGGGTTTCTTTATGTCTACCGTTGCAATTGTTGAGTTCTATTTGGATTTTTTATGCTTTCCTCAACATATTCAGTGTACTCTTTGATAGCCCTTTGTGATTAGGTCTCTGTCAACCATATTCTGCGTACTCTCTAACTATTGGATTATCGGATGCAATTTGTTCTAGGCTTGTCTTTCTCTGGGGTATTTACTAATTTGTCCCTATGGGTTAAGATGGGATACAATGCTGAGGGGGTTAGGAAGCTCAATCCTTTTATTTGTTTTTCGTTGATATGATGTTCATAAACATTTTGGTTGTGGTAATGTACTACTGGCTTATGCTATTACCTAAGATCACCATCTTCAAATTTGTGTCACTACGAACTAAGTGTATGGCGTTTGGTTTGCTATTTAGAATAATTTTAGGTCTCTTAATTAATGTGGTTATGTTTTGATGTGGTTTTGGCATGATCCAATCAATTGATAAAACCCCTTTTAGTCTCCTCTTTACAGACGACCGGTTGATGCTCTTATTTCCCTTGATTCCTTTAACCCTCGGCTGACTCATGAAGTCTCTCGCCTAGGAAGACATGATGGACATACTAGGGAGATTTTTTTTACTTTGGTGGTTGAATGGGAACTGGTTGCTTGATTACTTTTTTTTTTGTTTTGTTTTAATATATACAGGGACTACTTTAGTTTGGCTAATGTCGCAATTTGTTGTAATGATCAATCTTTTGCCATAGCAAACTCGACCCATAATGACTCATTTGAATTTTAGTTCTACTAATCCATGACCTTCCTCTGTAAGTTCATATCTTATCACTTCTGACTCTTTCCTTTATTTATTGACATCCAATTGAAAATAACGCTTATAAGCTGTTTTAGGGATCATTTCTGTAGTTATAGTTGCCCGATGCCGCCCCATCTTCTGTGGCAGTAAAGACACAAACTGAGAAGAAACTGGCCTATAAATAGAGGCAACTCCAGAAGCTACTCTCTTATCCCATAATTGAACTCGGATT